CAGCTCACACTAACGCAGCTTAGAGGAGGAGAAGAAGAAGAAGAAGAAGAAGAAGAAGAAGAAGCAGCAGCAGCAGAGGAGTTGGAGGAGGAGGAGGAGGAGGAGATTGGATTTATACCCTGCCCTTCACTACCCAAGGGAGTCTCAAAGCGGCTTACAAACCCCCTCCCCACAACAGACACCCTGTGAGGTGGGCGGGGCTGAGAGAGCTCTGACAGAAACGGCTCTTTTTTTCAAAAACAGCTCTTATCAGAACTATGGCTTGCCCAAGGTCATCCAGCCAGGTGCGAGTGGAGGAGTGCGGAATCAAACCCCGTTCTCCCAGATTAGAGTCCGCGCACATAACCACTGCACCAAACTGGCTCTCCAAGGAGACACAATCCCAGCGTGGCCCACAAAGATGCTCCTAGTCTGATACAGAACTGGTTTTCAGGGTCTAAATTCCAATTTAAAGCAGGCCGGTTTAAAGTACGCCAGTTTCAATGCTTCCAGAGAGAACCAGGGCCCCAGTGGCAGTTTCCAACTTTTACTAAAGGCTTGGCCTGTGTTTCCCCCCCCTACCTCTCTGGGCCTCACAGAATTCTAGAGTTCATATTGAGAGGGAGGGAGGATCCACACAGACTAGTCCCGTCAAAACAGAGGATCATTTCCTGGCTAGACCACGGCACTTGCACATGGCTGGATGACCTTGGGCAAGCCATAGTTCTGATAAGAGCTGTTCTTGAAAAAAATAGCAGTTTCTGTCTCTCAGCCCCACCTACCTCACAGGGTGTCTGTTGTGGGGAGGGAAAGGGAAAGGAGTAAGCCGCTCTGAGACTCCTTTGGGTAGTGAAGGGCGGGATGTAAATCCAATCTCTTCTTCTTCTTCTTCTTCTTCTTCTTCTGAAGTTGGGGAAACCGCAGGTCACAAGGAGAGAACAGATGAATCCAAGAGCATAAGAGAAGCCATGTTGGATCAGGCCAGTGGCCCATCCAGTCCAACACTCTGTGTCACACAGTGGCCAAAACCCAGGGGCCATCAGGAGGTCCACCAGTGGGGCCAGAACTCCAGAAGCCCTCGCACTGTTGCCCCCCAAACACCAAAAAGACAGGGCATCACTGCCCCAGACATAAGAACCAAGCCAAGGGCCCATCCAGTCCAACACTCTGTCGCACAGTGGCCAAAAATACCAGGTGCCCTCAGGAAGCCCAGCACTATGGCCAGGATGCTAGAAGCCCATCCACTGTTGCTCCCCCCCCCCCAGCACCAAGACTACAGAGCATCACTTGCCCCAGACAGAGTGTTCCATCTATACCTTGTGGCTAAGAGCCACTGATGGACCTCTGCTCCATCTGTCTATCCAATCCCCTCTTGAAGCAGTCTATGCTCCTAGCCACCACCCCTTCCTAAGGCAGTGACTTCCACATGTTAATTACTCTTTGGGTGAAGAAATACCATTCTGAGAGAACGGTGAGTGGTCCAAGGCCGCCCAGCAGGCTTCATGTGGTGGAGCAGTGGGGAACCAAACCCAGGTCTCCAGGTTAGAGTCTGCCACGACACCATGCTGCCTTTCGAGCGTCAAACCTTGCGTGAGATGGTGGGAAAGGATTCTCTGCCTTATGCCCGAGAGTGACACGCCCCCCCTCACCTCGCTGTCGTGCGGGGGGAGCTGGTGCAGCAGCTGGCGGATGCGGTATCGTTCTCCGGGGCTGTTGACGTAGGGGACCTTGTCTTCCGGGAGGCAGCTGAAGAACTGATACACCTGCGGGGGGAGGGAGAAACGAACGGGTCAACAGGGTGCTTTACAGCGGCTGGGGTCTGAAGGCCAGAAAGATGCTTCTTGTTTTTAAACCAGTGAGAGACCACAGATCACCATGGAAATAGTCCAAATAACTAATTTCATAATCCCAGCAACTCCAGAGTTTATTCTTTTAAATCTACGGGGAAATTTTAAAAAGGCCGGAAATTAGATAAGAGTTAATCATCATCATGATCACCGCAGCAAAACCCCCCCAAAACGTAATAGCCACAAAATGGAAGGAAAGAGAACCCCCTTCAGGGCATCTGTGGTATCTTAAATTATGGGACTATTTTATTTTAGACAAAATATAACAGATAATCTACCCAAAGCTGCTGTAGATTTTCCGGGTTGTATGGCCATGGTCTTTGCATTGTAGGACCTGACGTTTCGCCAGTAGCTGTGACTGGCATCCTCAGAGGTATAACACAGAAAGATGGAGTACTCTCTGTGTCAAGGTGAGAAGAAAAATGGTAGGCAGGTAATTTATATCTACTCAGGAAGGTGGGGTCATTATCATGTATGAGTTCCCCAGGCTGTGACACACTGTCTTTCATGTTTCATACCCAAAGATCAGACCCTCAAACCCAACATTTTGATCTATTAGAAAAATGGCTTCCTTTATTAAAAATAAATAAATCAAGGTCAGAACTATTTACATACTATACTGAAAGACGACTACGCTTTTGCTGTCGCATTTCATTGAAAGATAGTCTTCACCAGCAACGACCAATTTGTAATTCTCATCTTTTCCTCTCACAAAATTGTTTTTATAACAATACTTCTCATTTCAATGTAATGCCTTGTTAACTTACAAGTTATATTACCTGTTTATAGCGAACAACAAAAATTGTTTTGGGAAAAACCCCAGTGAGAGACGGTGTATTGTAGCGGTTAAGAGAGTCACACTAGGGTCTGAGAGACCTGGGTTCGAATCCCCACTCCACCATGGAAGCTCGCTGGGTGACCTTGGGCCAGTCACAGCCTCTCAGCCTAACCTACCTCACAGGGTCATTGTAAGAATAAAACCGAGGAGAGGATAACGACATAAGCTGCCTTGGGGAGAAAGGCGGACTACAAATGAAGTGAACTTTTAAAAATAATAATGTTGTTCTGGCCATCCTTCAAGGGGTTTAGGGTGTCAGACTCGGTTCCCTTTGTACATTGTCTTCTCGGAGCAACCCTGTGAAATAGGTTAGGTAGACAGAGAGTAACCCAGTGACTTTCCTAGCTTGGATCCAGGCCTTGGGCCCTTGCACAGTGCTGGCTCTTCAACTTCCAGCCCTCTTTCACGCAAGTTTTGCAGAGTCCCAGGTGACATAAAAACACTACAGGCCTCCAGCGGCACCTTAAAAGACAAATACAGCACAGGCTTTCCCGGGTCAGAGTTCATTGCATCAGGTATGTGGAGTGTATATCCAAAGCTGTTATTGGTACCAGTTTGGTGTAGAGGTTCGGAGCGCGGCCTCTAATCTGGGAGAATCGAGTTTGATTCCCCACACCTCCACAAACAGCCACTGGTGTGACCTTAGGTAAGTCATAAGTTCTTTCAGAGCTGTTCTCTCAAGGGCAGTTCTCGAGAGAGCTCTCTCAGCCCCACCTACCTCCCAGGGTGTCTGTGGTGGCGAGGGGGAGGGAAAGGAGGTTGCAAGCCGCTCTGAGACTCCTTTGGGCAGTGAAGGGCGGGGTATAAATCTAATCTCGTCTTCTTCTTCTCTTCTACTTCAGAGTTATGAGCATCGCTCCGATACACCGGATAAAGCGAGCTGTGACTCACAAAGGTTTATGTGGGGATTAAATTTTAGGGCCACTGGCCGGCTGTTTCATTTCGCCACAACAGACGAACACGGTGACCTTCCTGGAATGACTACCATTAGAATGCTATTGAGCAAGCAGAGGCAAGACCAATTAACTGGATGCTGGAAGCAAGTTTCAGAGTTACACAACCCTCTTTGCCAGGAATGTGTGGCTCTTTACTGCGGCTGGTATCGAGTCTGTAACTCAGCTTCGCTGGTCCTTTAAAACCAAGGGGCTCTTCAGCTGTTATTCCTTGAATTCCTTTTCTTTTTCTTTTTGTATTTTTCATATGTGCGTGCGTGCGTGCGCACCTAGAAGTCATGGTGACCTCTGGTGACCATTGTTCCCTCTAAGCCGAGTTCGTGTGAGCTAGCTCACAGAGTTTTAGCCTCCGGCTCACACATTTTTTGTCCTCGGTCAGGAAGGATGGCTCCAGAGCAAACTATTTTATGCAGCAGCCAAATTGCTCTCTCGCAACTTGAATGCCAGTAGCTCACAAAGTAGAATTTTTGCTCACAAGACCACACAGCTTTAGAGGGAGCATTGCTGGCGACTGACTGTGTGTGCACCTGGAAGTCATGGCGACCTCTGGTGACTGGCCCCCTCCTGGGGTCCTGAAGGATATTCAGAGAGGTGGCTGAAAAAAGCCTGCCCCCACCTCCCGACTGCTGGTATTCCTTGGAGGTCTCCCATCCAAGTACTTGCCGGAGCCAACCCTGCTTAGCTTCCGAGATCTGATGCCATTGGGTTTGCCTGGGCTACCCAGGTCAGGGCAGGTGTTACTGCTTGAGGCCATCACTAGTTCTGGACTTGGTGGGATCTATGAGGTCTCATGATGCCCCACATAACATGTAGAATACCCAAACCAGGAACAGTGTTCCCTCTAAGCTTAGTTAGTGTGAGCTAGCTCACCGTTTTTTGGCCTCGGGCTCACACATTTTCGTCTCAGCTCAGGAAGGATGGCTCCAGAGCAAACTAATTTATGCAGCTGCCAAATCGTTCGCCGACAACTTTAATGCCAGAAACTCGCAAAGTAGAATTTTTGCTCACAAGACTCCACAGCTTCGAGGGAGCATTGGTTAGGAGATGCCACATTAATCTCCCCTACCCTGGATCTTGAAACCTATCTACAGCCAGTTTGGTGTAGTGGTTAAGTGTGCGGACTCTAATCTGGGAGAACCGGGTTTGATTCCCGCCACTCCTCTACTTGCACCTGCTGATGTGACCTTGGGTCAGTCACAAGCTCTGGCACAGCTGTCCTTGAAAAAGAGCAGTTTGTGTCAGAGTTCTCTCAGCCCCACCCACCTCACAGGGTGTCTGTTGTGGGGAGGGGAAGGGAAAGGAGTCTGTAAGCCCCTCTGAGACTCCGAGTGAAGGGCAGGGTATAAATCCAATCTCTTCTCTCTTCTTCTTCTACCTCAAAATCTGGTTGGTCTCTAAGGCAGGGGGCCCCTGTCCTGTTTGAGCCTACGGGCGCCTTTGGAATTCTGACACAGCGCAGTGGGCACACCCACAAAATGGCTGCTGCAACAATGGCTGCCAGGGGAGGAGGAGCCAGTCATGAAATGGCTGCCTCAGCTTGCCTTCAGTCATGTTGGGAAGATCCCCGTGATGTGGTGGCAGCCGCTGCCAAAGCAACATTTAAAAAAAATCTGCACATCCAATCAAATCTCTGACAGCCATTCAGAAGCCTTGCTGGGCAGAAACCCCACGGGGTCCTGCCCACTTCCTAAAAACACTTGGTGGGTGCCAGGAAAGGTTTGGGTGGATGCCGTGGTGCCCATGGGCACCACGTTGGGGACCCCTGCTCTAAGGTGAGACTGGACTCAGATGCAGCTGTCCTCCTGCACACCGACACAGCACCTCTCTGAGACCATTTCTCTAACTGTGCCCAATCCAGGTGGGCGGCCGTGTCGGTCTGAAGCAGAAGAACAAACTTTGAGTCCGGAGGCACCTTTAAGACCAACGAAAGTTTTTATTCAGGTTGTTGTAGCGGTTAGGAGTGTGGACTCTAATCTGGGAGGACCAGCTGTGATCCCCCACATGCAGCTGCCGGTGTGACCTTGGGTCAGTCACAAGTTCTGCCAGAGCTGTTCTCTTAAGAGCAATCCTGGAAAGAGCTCTCTCGGCCCCACCTTCCTCACAGGGGTGTCTGTTGTGAGGAGTGGAAAGGAAAAGGAGATGGTAAGCCGCTCTGAGACTCTGAGTGAAGGGCGGGGCATAAATCCAGTCTCTTCCTCCTCCTTCAAGGTATGAGCTTCCGTGCATAGATAAGTCTGAGTAAGTGTGTGGGCACACAAAAGCTCATATCATGAATAAACTTCTGTTGGTCTTAAAGGGACCACTGACTCACAATATGCCCGATCCAATGATCCTGGATCCCAGGGAATCTAACCCTTTCCATTGCCGGAAGACCTTGCTGTACTTATCCCGGCCCTGAGAGATGCTTCGGGGTTTTTTAAAAGAGAGGACTGTGGACACTGCCACAAAATGTGCGATCCAAATACATCCTATCCAAAGGGTGTCCGAGGGCACAGGAAAAACAAACAAACAAACAAACAGAGAGAGAGAGTTCCGGTTTCGGTTTCCTTCCTGCCTGCTAGCTGACTAGCAAAGCTTTTGTGCTCCGCCCACGCAGGTGTGTCCTAGCTCTAAGCTCCTGCACGGGCTGTAGGCCCAGGCGTCTCTGGGCTTGGCAGCCTCTTCTCTATGCCCACGCAACCCTCCCTCCCTCTTTGGAAACCGAAAGCAAACGGAAGTCCCGGAGCTCTCTGGAGGGGGGAAATGGTGGGAAATGGGAAGAATGTCAACGGCACCCCGTCACGCTGACGTCACTCCCCGTGCACCTGGGAAGTCACGTCAGGGCATTGCTGGGGGACACCAGGGACACTCTGGCACTCGGGCAAAACTCTGTGGTTAAACAGGCGAGCCAGGGTCACCAACTCTGGGTTGGAAAATGCCTGGGGATTGGATGGGGGGGGGGGGGTGCACAGTGCCTGGAGAGAGGAAAGGTAAGCCCCCTGCTGGCTGTGTGTGTGTGGGGACCTGGCAACCCTACAAGTTCAGAGACTAACAAAAGTCGTTCCTATAAAAAATACAGAATGAATAGCATCACAGTCCAAAGGAATCCTAAAAGAGGTGGGTTAGGTTTCCCAGATTTAATCCAA